AATTTATTGTTGTTATATTATTTTATTAAAGCGAGGAGTGCATAGATCGTAGATTCCTTCCTTGCCTACATTGTGCAATTCGTAACTGTTTTTTTAAGTTAAAACATGTCGCTGTGTACATGGATTCTTGTCAAATATTTTTGGTTAGAAACTTTACGTTTTTGCTATCTAAATTTTTTGTTTTTGTTTCGGATTTTTAGCTAAATTGTCTGTTCAAAACGTAGTTTTTGCATGTGCGAAAACCGCATTTTTGGAGACATTTTAGGCTAAAAGTTCAAAATGTAGACAAACAATTTAGATAGTAATATGGCAGCGTGAAGTTTCTCGCCAAAAATATTTGGCGAGAAATTTGGCGACTTGAGGGCGCATATCAGAGTAGTTCTACCTCTTTGCCTCATTTCTTAAATTAGAACTATAGATATGTATAATTGCATGAATTAACATGCATGGAAATGAAGTAAACATGCATGGAAATAATTTAAATATTTGACACTAAGTATTTGTAACCATTTTTAATGTTTTGTTATGAATTCGTTGGTGACATTTATAATAGATAATTTAGAGGTAAAAGTTTTTGGATATTTTATTTATATTGGAAATAGTGGAAATGTTCATCCTTGGATAGGGTATATACTTTTTCGCGATCAGGTAATTTCATATATGTGCTTTTTACCAAGTTTAAAGATTCACAAAATTTTCCTGCATTTTCGTGCAAATTTTTGTAATTTATGAGAAAATAGCAGTGTAGATGGATAAAGTCAAGAGTGTGTGCAATGCCATTTTTGTGCAATTCTGGGATGTTTTTTTAAGTAAAAATAAGTCGACGTGTACATGGTTACTGTGTATGTGCGATTTGGAAAAACGCGGCAAGGAGTTTGCGATCCTGAACTTTTTCCCAATTTTGCAGTTAATATTTGTCATGATTAAGCAGTTTTGTTCCATAAAATTTCTAGCATAAGTGTAATTCGGCTAGCAGATTGTTGGAAAAAGTGTTGAGTAAATAAAAAGAAAAGAAGCATGTCTTTACTTTGTGAAGACAAAATGGCGGCGAAAAAAAAATTGGGGGTTGCTGTAGCAGAGTTGGTCGCCAAGTTTTTGCCAAAAAATCGCCAAGTTACCATAATTCAAAGATCAACCAAATTTGACTGTATGGCAAGCACTTACATACTGATTTCAATGTCTTTAAATGTAATTATTATAAAGTTTAGATATATTCTTATTAAGATATACTCTTATTCTATTACAGTCAAAAGTTGTTAATTCGGACACCCATAATTCGGAATGATCTATAATCCGAACCTCAAAGCTAAAAACTTTCTGCGCATGTGCCGCGTTGACACATGCGCAAGTGCAGAATACGTTTTCACGTGCGCGTTTAATGTACAACGGACGGTATAAGCTAAAATTATCTAATTATCTATTTCAGTTAATGTTGATGATTGCGTTGTTGCTTAATTTTCAAACTGGATCCGGCTTATTGCTTTTTTCAGACTGTAAGAGCAGTTTTATAAAAGTAAACTTGAACTTTTGATTATGTCAAATAGAATTTTCCAAAGGATCCAAAGGAGCTCTCAAAGGATCTACAAAACGAAAGTATGTTTTGATGTATATAAAGTATGTTCATTTTATTCCAGGCTAACTCATAAGTGCTAAGTACAGAGTTGCCACGCTACCTGAAAAACTAAGAAAAATCAGGGAAATTGAAAGTTGACCAAAAAAATCAGGGAATTAAACTATTTTAGTCGAAATCAGAAAAAGTCGGGGAATTTCATTCGACAATACCCCAAAAAAGCGATTTTAGTGCCAATGTTGGAAGCGATCACTTTCTAGATGAATTATGTATTGTGGGAGCATAATTCGGGCAGCTAGTGCAGAGCCAATTTTCGCAGCACCAGTCAGATTGGCTTTCAGAAAGGAAAACAAGTTTTCAGCATCTTTGTTTCCAGTAACCTCCTGAATATGTTACGATATGCCAGATCTGCTCATAGTGCTTATCATCAAGCACTTGAGGGCAAAAAACAGAACAGTGTGATAATAAGCATAAATATTTTTTGACAAAAGGAAAGCACAATCAGAGATTAAAATTCTGGAGTCAAAAAAAAAAAAAAAAAAAAACTGAACAGATATGTTTCTTCAATGGACTTACAAATTGCAAACTTAAACCAAGAAATGTAGCTTTGTGCTGATTTTTCATTAGTATTTTTTCTGTTCATGTTTTGTTTAAATATGCTAAATATCTTTCTTTTGCCTTGAATTGCAACAAAAAATTACATTTAATTTGTATGTATTATTTATGCCTATATTAAGTTTTTCATAAAAAATCTGTTGACATCTTAAAATAAAATACTTTTTTTTTGACCTTTCAGAATTTAGCAAATGTTGTGATGTTACTGAGGTGATTGTTTGGCAATTATATATTATTTAATAGGATAGATATAACTGGCTCTCATTTCCGTTTTGTAAACAGTAACTTCCATTCCAGAATTTATCTGTAATAATTTTTAAAAGAATATAGCTATCATTCATGATATAATTTTTTTCACAATTAATGGTGGAGAAAATCCAATGTTTAAAAGTAAATTACATTGAAAAATTGAATTGAAATCTACATTACATTGAAAAATCAACAAATTTCAATTCTGATTTTGTTTATTGCTTAGATGGAATGTATTGTAGGTATTTAATTTCTTTTGTTAGTGAAAGTTATTGAGGAAAACAGCTCCTATTATAGTCATAATATCGTAATACTTTGGGGATTATATATAGATATGCCATATGTAATTGGCAAATTTTTGTGTTTTTAAAGTTGTATCGTAATTAATATACCTTTAGCACAGCCAATTGCACACTATGTGGATACTCTGGTGTTTTCGTAAACCGGAAAAGTCGGGGAATTTCATTCTCCTGTTTGAGTGGCAACCTTGTAAATAGATTGGATTAAAAGCAAACCCATATTAAAAAAATAGATATTAAAATTCTTGCTTATAGTTTGTTAATAAGTGATATCATAACAGAAGTAAGTACTTAGATATTTTTGCAACCACCCTGCACAGTTTTGGCATTGGTTTTTTTTTTTTTTTTTTTTTTTTTTTTTTGATGGAAGGGTGAACGTTGCATTTATTGGGTAGAAGTTGGTGATTTTTCACTTTTTTTATGATTACGAAATTACCAACATTTATTGTAATTGTCAAGTATTATCAACATATATATTAAAAATTCTTTAGCAATTTAAAATTCAAATTTTAATTATTAAATAAAAATGAAATTGTACCAAAAAATTTTTTTACAAAATCATCCTGTTATTTTATGTTTTGATCCCTCCTTGTGAAAAAGCACTCTGTTTTTGCTTTAAAAGGATCACAGAACTTTACAAACCTGCCATCATGCACAAATACAGTCAAAAGTCGTTAATTCGGACACCCATAATTCGGAATGATCTATAATCCGGACCTCAAAACTAAAAACTTTCTGCGCATGCGCCGCGTTGGCACATGCGCATAGGCGTTTACGCGTGCGCGTAAGACCTTTTACGACTGCGCATATGAGTGTGCGCAAGTGCAGAATACGTTTTCGCATGCACGTTTTATGTATAATGAACGTATAAGCTAAAATTATCTAATTATCTATTTCAGTTAATGTTGATTATTGCGTTGTTCCTTAATTTTCGAATTTGATCCGGCTTATTATTTTTTGCAGACTGTAAGAGCAATTTTATGAAAGTAAGCTTAAACTTTCGATTATATGAAATAGAATTTCCGATATATATTTGTTAATATGTAAAGGATTTAAAGCGAAAGTATGTTTTGAAATCCGAAATCTGTTTATCAATTTCACGCTGCTCGGCGGGGGGGGGGGATCGCCGCTGCAGGCGCGTAATGAATTGGAAGTTGATCTGTCAGCACTATCCTTATCTTCAGCGCAGATGTTTTTTATTTTATTTGGCTTATAATTCCTTACCAAATGTAGTATTTCATCTCGATATGCTCCGTCTTTGATATGATTTAAAACAAGTTCCTCGTCATTATAATTTGCTTTCGATAGCGAAGAAAATAACAGAGGTTATTGAAAACGAAAAAATTTCGATTGACAAATTAGTCGGTGTTCTCAACACAGCAATTATAGGACTTGAACAGCGGAACTTTGTAACTGAACAAGAAATTATGTCTGTTTAATAGAATTAAAAGAGAAAGTATTATCACATGAAACGAAGCAAAACTTAAACAACTTACATTGAAAGAAATGTTTAATAAAGTAAACAAATAAGTATTAAGGTTTTTCTTTTTGCAACTTTTGATACCCTTTAGATCATAATTGTTCTTTATTTCATAAATTATGGTTTCATATTTTTAATTTTAGAATTTCTGCATGCCATCTTATGAGATTTAAACTGATGATCTATAATCCGGAAAAATCGATAATCCGGAATCGCCGAAGTCCCGACGAGTCCGGATTAACGACTTTTGACTGTATAGCATTATTAAAAGGCTATGTATCAAATGCATCTTATTATTCCTCCTTTTGGTCATTTTGTGAAAAAATACTGTATTCATCTAGAAATTTTACTGCAATTTCTTCCATTGCTGGCAAATTGTACAACTTAATAATTTTAAATTGAGTCTTGGGGGGGGGGAAGGAAAGAAAAGATCATGATTTAAAAGCCCTTGAAACACACACACCAAAATAAAAAAAAAAAAAGGAAAAAGCTTAATGACATTGCTTGACTGAAAGATGGTTGCCAGAGTTTGGGACATTCTGTTAATTCTGTTAATTTGGCAATTTCTAATAAGGTTGTTGCAATAATGCGCAAGTACTCAAAAATATTCATTACTTTATTATTAATTATTTTCAGATTCTTTTAATATTGCAGTTGCTGATGTTGAGTTAAAATAAAATGTGAATTTTTTCTGAAGTATTAAATGTTTTAATAATTATTGTAAATTATTTGGAAAGATTACTGAATGAAAATATTAATTTAATCTTTAATATTCTAGTTTTTTACTATGGCTTCTACGGAACTTGATCCTTTGTTCGTAAAAGGGCTGCGGCTACTTCATTCGAAAAGTAGGGAATCAGCTGATCAGCTAAAAAATGCTTTTAGATGATGCAATTGCACAATCTAAACAAAGTGCGCATGTAAAAATTTATACATCAGTGAAAATGGTAATTGTTTTATGATGCTCTCTCCACATATTAGAATGCACATTGAGATACTATATAATCTGTCTTGTAATTTAATATAAGTTATTTTATAATTGTTTTGTAGTATTGAAGTTTTTCACAAGTAGTCATTTTAATGCAATAATAAATTTGAAATTTCAGGGTTAAAAAATATTTAACTGGTATTTCTACATCATGTACTGCTAAATTTTATGTTTGAAAATTCGTCTGTTATGAATTGCGATTTTATACGTCTAAGGATTGACACCTACTCAAAATTTTATGTTCATCTTTTTTTTTTTTAAATTATGGAAGTATAATAATTATTTGGAATTGTTCATAAATGTTTATGTCGATGAATTGTGTGAAAGTGGAATTCTAGACAATTGTAGATCAGTATTGTTCTTGCTTGTTAATTGTTGCTGTAAAGAAGATAAAATCCATAACTGGGCATTATCTTTAACAAAATATATTTTACTCAACTTGTAACTTCCATCTACACTTTTCTTTTTAGCAGATTGAGTATTCAATGGACATTTGAAAAATAAGGAAAGATGTAAGAAAAATTATAATGTTCTGAAACTTAAGTGTCTTTTCTACACCTAGTAGAGGATCACTGAAAACAGTGTGGATTTTAAAAAACATGCTATTCAAAACTATTCAGATATTTAACTTTTGAAGGTTACCAAACTTTGAGTAATTGTTTTCCTACTCTATGCAGTATTTCACTGCAGTATTGTTCTTAAATACTATAACCGCTTTCCCTAAGTTAAATGACATTTATTTTCATTGACATCATAGAATGTAAAATAGTAACTCCTTTGAAAGTATTCTTTATGCATTTTTAGCGAAAATGAATTATGAACAAAAACTGTGTTATCCGTTCCTACCATGTTCTGCTTCAGACTGAATTTTTAAGAAATGTTCTACTGTACAAAATCGGAAATCCAGATGTTCAGTATCCTGAATGATCTAAAATCCACACATCTGGACTATCAACAAGTTTGCCCCCCACCTATTTACCCTTGCGCATTTGATACTTTTCCATCATAAAACAATTGGAGAGTACCATTTCTTAATTTCAATTTGACACGAAATAAAATACCTCTATATTAAAAGAGACAATCATTTATTAGCATAAATCTGTATGATCAATAATATAGTTCTGTAGCCAACTTTTTGCTTGGCATATGTCTCAAACGGAAACATCATACATTGAAACATCATTGATTTTTCAGCTGCTGAATAATTTATATTCCTGACTCCAACCTGTGAATCATTATGTTTTGTTTATTACTTTCAACACGTTTTACTGTGTAACTATCAACACGTGCCTGCCTGAAATGTGAATCTCGCACTGAGGTCTAAAACATTTTTTCAAAAATATTAATACTTGAGTACCAAAGAGCATGATAGCCTTTTATGTTGATATTGTTTGTTCCCAATGATTGGACTTCAGCTAATTAATTGCCTTGTGAAGTGTTGAACATGTTGACAAGAAGAAATTTAACAAATTTCTCTCTGTATGCCAAAAAAATTTTTTTTGTAAATGGTACTCTAGGCCAAAAGATTATATTTAGTGCCATTTGAATTGAGAATAACAGATTTGTTATTCAGGTAAGTCCAGGACCAGAGCTGGTGTGGTCGTACCAGGGGGGCAGAGTTTAGGGGAGGCAAATTTTTTGGAATTTAGAGAAGCATTGAACAATAAAATTAAAGGATGACACATTTAAAATGGGCTCTAGGATGCAAAATTTTTAGAATTTAAGGAGGTGCTTTGCAGCAGAATTTAGAACCTGCAGAGATTGCACTGGACCACAAAATGTCTAGTGCTAGCCTGGGATAAGCCTTAATTATATGTGAGAATTTATTTATTCAAGGCTCATATAAGCCTCATGTGCAGGAAATAGGTGTAAATACTGTGTTTCCTTGGAAATGATACTTAAAAAAAAATAATAATAAAAATAAGCCCTTGCATGATTTTTCAGGGTATTCCTAATATAAGCCCCACCAACGAAATAAGTTTTAGTTAACACTGTCAACTAGGCAGGGACCTTATTGCCGTATGACCAAGTGCAGGTGCAATACATATGCACATTTGAAACAAGTAAGACAAATTCAATATTTAGTATGTCACATTAGCAAAAGACATTTAGCACTTGATTTAATAATAAATTTTGATGCTTTGATAAGATGAGTGCAAAAAGAAAGTTGAGTGCAAGAGAGGAATTTTTCAAGGCTCCAGGGATAAAAATATTACAGCTTTCTACAAAGAGAAGTTGGATCTACGAATGGCCCAAAAAAGGGCACTGAGTACAATGGGGTTGTCGAAAGTAACTTCCAAAAAGCATTAAGTGTGGATCCAGGTAGGCAACCATTATTTCCTGAATTAGAACACATCATCTGTGAATGGATTGTGACAGAAGAGTAAAATGTTTGGTTGTTCAGCAAGGCTGATATTCTAACATTTTCCCTTTCAATGGCACCACAGCTACACATAGTGCAAGATGAATTATATTATATTGCATTATATTTGTAATTTCAAAGTGGAATGTTATGTAATTTTAAAATTATTAGGAATGAAAGAAAATAATCGAAATAATCTATTTTACTGACTTTTTCCACTTTTTGAAATAAAATGCTTAAAACTAATTACAGCACAAAGTTCTCCAAATGTCTAGTGTCTGGAATGATCTAATATCCAGGCCACTAGCACCACCCCCTTAAAAAATCCCATTATGAAGTCTAGGAATGGGAGTAAAATAAATTAGTGTGCCATAAATGAAGTTTTTCTCCCAATTAAGATTTCTGCATATAACTTTCAAATAACTTCTGACTAGGGAATCAGATCGTGGCCATTGACTGATGATGTATACATGTGGGCCACAATAACGCTTTCATTATTCGAGTGCTTGTGACAAAATGCAAACTTGAGTTTGGAGCAAAAATTTGGTCATGTTTTTGAAATTTTGGTAAGTTGCAAAGTAGCATTTTTATTTATTTATGTATTTTAACTGCTTATGTATACAAATCTAGCTACTCTGAAGTGATGTTTTTGTGATTCACCTTTGCATCTGCTCATTTTAGAACTGTAAACAGCAACTAAATAGTTATATTCATTTAAAGACTAAGAATAAAGCAAGATTCAGAAGCAAAATTTGGAACTAAAACTCAAACAAATGAGATTGCATGAATTTTACTTAGTATTCTGCTTCCAATTTAGAAAATAGCTTTGATTGATGCATTATAAATAATAAATTTGAAGAAAACTATTGATCTCTTTAAGGCCATTGATGATGAATTGAAAGAGTTGATTTAAAAATATAATATTTTGTTTATCTAGAGTCTTTTTTGAAATATTAGCAAAACTCCCTTAGCTGAAAAATGTTAACAATATTTTGTGGCCATGATTTGTACTGTAACTTATAAAAATTTTATGTCTCCCTTCCTCTGCAAAGAAATATCCAGACTGTTGATGCATTAAATATGGAATAATATCGGAATATTCAATTAGAAGCAAGTTTATTAATATACAAGTAGAAGCAATAAAAAGGCAAAACTAAAAGGCATGAAGAAATTAAATTTGATAGAAATATTGCAGCAAGTTGCAAATTATCCCTAATATTTTAAAGAATGCTTTAAGTGATTTTTCGTCATTCTTAATTACAATGTGTTCAGCGAGCAGATGAATCAGTATGTATTGAGATTATCTAGCAAGTATGGGAATAACTTGAATTTGTTCAATATTTTCATAAACTGCACTAAAAATTTTTATGATCAAATTTATTAACATTCAGAGAGTTTATTTGCTATATGAAACTGGTTTTTCTCATAACTGAGGCAATTAAAAAAATATATTATTGGCTTTTCTTGAAAGTCTGTTAAATTTTCATATTCTCCCTTATTAAAATCATTTTGGGTAATAGCATACAAAAGAGAGCTTATTAATAATATTATTAAAAGTATTATCCAACAGCTTATTAAAATATTACTGATTAATTTGCTGTTTCATAGATGAAAGTATCATTATAAATGTTTAACATATCTGAGTGTTCTAACAATAAATAATTCAGTATATAGCTCAATATTTATGCTTTTTTACAGAAATAAGAAAGCCATAAATAATAATTTTTATTGGAGGAAAATACTTCCTGCAAAAAAAATTTAGAAGCCTCTTATTAGCTTTGTTCTTTCCTAAATTCTAAAAATTCTGCACCTTAATTCTGCCACTTGAGCATGAGCTTTTGCGGCAGCCATGACCTCTGCACAAATTTAAAAAGAAAAGGTTATTTGTTCAGCCGATTCATTTGGATTCCTGTTCACAAAGCAGAAGGCATGCCTTGTAAAAGCTTCTATATAAGTAATGTTTAAAAGTGGTTTGTAGTATGTTAACCTAGATTATTTTAATTTTGATTTAACTTGATTTTAATTGGATGTGCCTTTTGATTGATTCTTCAGCATATAGAGTCTTGTAATATAAAGGAGAATTGAACTATCTTTGAGGACTTATAAATGTTATTAATCTTTACTTTGATTGTAAAGATTTATACCATAAGTATCAACAATATTTAGTTCTTAATTATGACATGCTGATTTTTCTTAAATATTCTAATAGGATAAAATATTTTGGAATTGTGCTTTAATCTGGATAATTATTAGTTTTTGTATATGAAAATTTTAAGTCAGAATTTTCTTTTTAGTCCTATTTTGCTGCACTCGATAATTTTTTTTTTCTTAATGCATATATTAATAGATTAAAAAATACGAGTGGCAGAATATGATTTATTATATATTCAGATTTTTTGTTTTTGATAAATTGCTCAGTTTTCTGTGTGTCAAAACTGTATTTTGAACATGCATTTGATTTCAGAAAAAGATTTGGATGGACATCGCTACTTATGATGTGTACCATTGAATTTAACTGTTTTACATTCAGGTAGAGAAGAGATATTTACCATGGTCCATATATTTAATGATGTTTATTATATGTTTATATAATATATTAATATATGTTTTATAATTTAATTTTCATTCATAATTTTCAGAAATTTATGGTAATGCATGTAAGTATTATGGTAGTACTTTCTAATTTACTGTTTTCAAAGTTTAAAATTTGACCAACTTTGGAGGTAATTTTGCTAAATATGTAGTAAAAATCTAAACATTACTCAAATAGAAAGAAAACAATAGACTTATAAGGTCATATTAAGTTGTTTTTTTTTTTTTCTTACTTCTGACACTAGTTGTTGCGTTATTTCCTTCCTTCACATTCGTACGGGGTTCATGTAGATTTAGAGTGAATAACGACGACACTTTATGAAGTATCGAAACACGCTTTATTTGGACAATATGCAATTAGACAGCTCCAAAACATGTTTTACAGTCTTCGATGAACTACTATAAACACGCTGACACAATCAGCGACACAGCCTTCAGGTTATCGAGCTATCACAGTGGAGACAGCTTCCTGCAAAGCACCCGACTCTGCTTGGTTGTTCTCGGAACTCCACGTGCTCTCGAGACTCACCACGAAACAACTTGCGATGCACTCCTGACTCTCGGTTCAGCTGTTTCCGGAGCTCAACTCGCTCTCTCTGCGATGCACTAACAGCGATACTCTACGAGACTCTTTCGGGGCACTCAACACTCGCTGGCTGGCTGTCAACACGATCGCCTCCGCAGGGTTTGACTCGCTAGATGAGACACACTCACTCGATGAGAGACGCACACTAACTGACTGCGGACCAGCAGGTTTATATAGCTTTGGCTCGTGTTCGGGAACATTCTGGGGTAAACCGGTAAGAATTCATTCCAGAAGGTTCTCCAACTGTCCATGGTATGTTGCCACATGGGTGATTTTTCGCCAAATGTGGCAACACTAAAACTGCTTTGCGGGGAAGCCATCTCACCGCGCCTGTACATTTCGTAACAATATGTTTCCACAGATTTGTGTATGAATACATAGAAATTTAGGGATAGATGTTCAGGACGACCATGAGCTATAATTCATTCAAATTCTAAAAATACAATAGAACCTGGATCAGAAGTTTTTGCATAAATTTAAAATAAACTCAGATTTTTAAACTTTGGAAATAATTCATAAATTTACTTATATATATTCATTTGTACACTAATTTTTTTTTTTCAGCAATTTTGCAACGTAAAAAGTCTGATCCTATGCTGCTGAGCATGTGCAATTTTTATGAAATTTTACTAAACTAGTATTTTCATTAGCATATAAAAATTATTTCTTAGATATTTGTCATTACCCATCATCATCACCATCTTGTTTTCCTGCAGGAAATTCGTTTTGTGGCAGCCATATTTTCTATTCCATATTTTTTTCACTAAAAAAGTTTATTTTATTTTTTATTAATACTTATTCTTACTCCAAAGAAGGATGGGGATGAATTCTTTTATGTTTTAATGTCCACTTCAGACCTATTAAAACAAAGTGAAGTATAACAATCTGTTTGGTGCAATTTTAAATAATATTGGCAGACAATATCTGCTGGAAATCAGGAAGGGGAATAATCAATTTTCTGATGTTGAAAATACAGGGTGTAGCACTTAAAATTGGGTCTCTTCATGACACACAATGTTTTGAATATAAATTCAACAATGGCAACACACTCGGGTATCGAATATGGTATTATCACACACTCGCTTGGCTTTGCACAACGAAGCCTAATTCTCAACTGGTCTAAATGGTTTTTACTGGCTGCAGCTGCCTTACACGTGCTGTGTTTTTCATGTCTCGAAAGCATGACTTGGAGTATATATTAGATTTATATATAGCTTTTCTAACATAGGTATTTTGACACAAAAATCTGTCCTTTCCTGAAATAAAATACCAATTGTTTCCATATTCCGATTCTACAACTCAAATTATGCCTAGATATTAAATTTTGTAAGATTTGGTGTGAAATTTATGGAGAAATTCATAAATTTATCTTGGCACAATTTTTTTCAGTTTGCGCCAAGAATAGTTCACTCGGTGAACTTCCTAATATGTGGCAGCCAATTTTCCTTTACCTTCCATTATGACGGAGTGGGAAAAAAAAGTCACATCATTTCTACTTCCAAATTTTAGCAAAGTGTCTAAAACCAGATTTGATGTTTCATCGCTTTCAACAAAATATGCCAAATTTCAAAACGTGCCATATAAATTCACGTATGTCTTTGAAAATTTTGAATAAAAAACTAATTTTTTGCAGGTATGGTTAGAAATACGTCTACTTTAAGATGATGGTAAAAATCTTATAGATTATAATTCAAAAATTTTGTAAAATTTTTAAAAATTATTAAAAATACAAATTTTAAGAATAAACCATAAAAATTGGCGAGTTTTATTTGGAATTAACCTAAATTTTGAAACATCAAATGAGTAATCAAATAAGTTTAATAAAAAAGAGAGTTTAATAAATATATACCAAACTCAATTAAAATTGAAGAGCTAATTTTTTGAAAACCACTCGTGTTATTTTTACAAAACTTGGTAGTTTGGGACAGTAAATTGAGTTGTAGAATCGTAATATGGAAAAAAAATTGGTATATTATTTTAGAAAAAGTCAGATTTTTGTATCAAAATACCTATGTTGGGACAGTGCTATGTGTAAATCTACATATCCTAAGTCGCGCCTTGAAAAACGCAAGTTGAATTTCGTCAATCGGCCCAGTAGAACGGGAGATATAAAACTGTCCCCCTTTTATTTTAATGTGCAGTGTACAATTATTTTTTTAACAAGCCCTTAGCATTTTTTGTTATATGGGGGTCAAACCTTTTGTTTTAGTTTTTCTCATGTATATAAACTTTTGCTAAATATAAATATATAACTATTTTAATTGAGAAGGATGCGTACAACGTTAGCTTTTTCAGTTCTATGAAGTTGATGTTTCACATTTAAGTGTCAAAATGTGAATACTTGACTGAAAATTTAAAAAAAAAAAAAAAAAAAAAAAAGAGTACAGTTTAATCAATCTGCTCATGTAGAGAATATATTTCTGTACCAAAAGATGCCAATACATTGTTAGTGGTGTATCTGCAAGTGGCCGTTACTCAGGTATCCAGAAATTTAAAGTTTTATTTCATTTGAAAATGTAAAATAGTGTTTCAGTGTACTCACTTGTTATTTGAACATCAATCTACTGATATTTTCTGTCATGCAGTTAGGCTTTACTCTCATTACTAGAAGAAGTTTTGAACCAATAATTATAAAGATTAACCTATGGTTGTGAAAATAAAGGCCACATAGGGATTTTTATTGACACTGTGTGTATTCAGCCCTTTACAGTAAGGTCGTGCCATTGGTGGCTTCTGCAGTGAAGGTATGCAGGTGTTTCATACCATATCAGTTTATTCATTTGAAGTTAATGAAATTTCCTCACTGAGAATTCTTGCCAATACAACCTATATAGTTATATGTTGGTAACATGAGTTATCTCATAAAATCAGTCATTCATGTTTGTGTACTCTAAACCTGCATTTATCTGCTTACTATTGTTATACATCTCAGAAAATTGGTGAAATTGCAGTATATGTGTTGTGTTGATGAAGTTTATCTGCGCTCACTTTATTTTAGCACACCCAAAATATGGACAACTTAATTTATTTTAGATCATTTCAAAACTGTGTATCTTGAACTATTGATGAATTGTAATTGTCTACCTGTCTGTCCTCTTGATTTTAGTAAATTTTCCTTCTTAATATACTTTAAAAAAATTCTAACACTGTGTTTTCTGAAAAACTTCTTAAAAGTGTTATAGTGTCTGCCTTTTTTTAATACCTAAAATAAACAAATTAATAAAAATGAAAAAATTATTTTAATATTAAACTAATTTAATAATATTTTTGAATGCTTTTTGAATAAGGATGAGATATTGTTTTGAATCAAATGTTTTATGCTGTATTTTAAATTCTTTCTAAGTATTTGGCTTTTTTTGGCAGGAAGGAGAAAGCAAACTTCACCTAAAAAAGACCTTAAGAGAGGTACCAGAAATTTCAAACTTTTCTTCAAAGCATTCTATAGAAGAAAACAGAGAAAGAAAAGCAGAAAAGCGACAACTTGAAAAAGTACTTATATAACCTTTCCCCCCCCTCTTTTATGGTATAGAATTCTAAATATTGTTTTATTATTAGTATATATAACCCCCTCCCAATATAAATATCTGAAGATGGTATCAAATCAGAGAAAATTTTCCTCAGCACTGTATTCAGCATTACATTTAAATAATATAGAATTCTAGGTATTGTCTTATTATCAGTATGTACGAGGTGTGGCGATTAAATAATGGGACTGTGCATGCCCTAGGCTTACTGAGCGGGAATAAGGATGGAATTGTAGTTCACCTTGATGCCTCCAGTACTAGTGGGACCATATTTCAATTTTCTATCTTGTTTAGTTGTTTGTTAATCTTTGCTTAAGTTGAATATTAATTTCATGATAAGCTTAAAAATCAACCAATGCATTAATCTCTTATTCCTCATTAAGTTAAGAAAAAAAAAAACCTCCAACTAAATCCTTTCAATTGTTAAAGGAAGAGTTTGGCGATAATTGCATGTCGCGCACAAGACAAATTTTTGCATGAGGATTTGCAAGTGACAAAAGTTTGCACAAAATGGTACCAAAAAGCCTCATACAGGAGAACAGAAAAAAAAAAAATATCTGCTGTGACTTCACAGCAGAGCCTGAACTCTTAGAAAAATTCACTACATGTGATGAAACGTGGGTTTTCCAATACAACCCTTTACCAAACTAGCAGTCCATGCACTAAACGACTCATATCTTCAACAAGCAGCAAAAAGCTCAAATAAACAGGTCAAAAATAAAAGCTATACTTATCATTTTTTTTTCGATATTAAGGATGTCATCATGATTGAGTGAGTAACTGAGAGCTAAGTATTAAACCAGAGTTACTAAATTGAGGTCTTGATTAATTTGAGAGAAGAGAAAAAAGACCAGATCAGTGGAAAACAGCTCGTGGGTGCTGCAGGAGAACAACATGCTAGCGCATGGTCAACTCTTTGTAAGCTAGTTTTTGGCGGACAAGAAAATTACTGTTGAACATCTGCTATAGTCTCGGATCTCATTTCATACAATTCTTCCTCATCCTGAAATTGGAAAATCCATTACATTTAGCATGGGAATACATTTTTAGCCTGAAAAGGTCAAAGCAAAAATGGCAAACTTGCTTCAAATAAAAAAATAAAAAAATAAAAAAAAAATGCGTATGCAATAGTTTATAGATGGGCAAGGAGAATATGTTGAAGGAGATTAACAGCTGTTTGTTATAAGTTTGCAAAAAAATATATTTTTGAGACTATTCCTATTATTTAACTGTCACACTATGTACAAAGCTTCCAATATGAATCTCTAAAGATGCTATCGAATCAAAGAGCAAATATCTTCAATATGTTGTTGAATATAGCAATTTGAGAAATTTTTGTAATTAGGTCTTGTGATCCTTCTCTATCTGAAATACATCATTGAATGTAATTTTTTCCGTACCATTGTAAAATGTTTGGGATAGAAATCTGCTATTCAAACTAGTTCTTAAAAGAATTTGCTTCTTGGAAAAGTTGGCTGTAGCATTTTGCATTCATTGCTGTGATACAGTTGTGGTTGCATTCTTAGGTGTGGTTCATTATTGCCAATTACTTACTACAATAGTGATAGACAGATTATGTGTTTTGTGAGAAGACTTTTCATTAATATAAACCAACCTGCTCTATAGAAATAGTATAGCTATTTGAATATATTTGAGATATTATAGTTCTTATTTAAAATTATTAAATTATTTTTTTATATATTCTTACCTAAATTTAGAGTAAAAATAAGTGATCTGTCTGTACCCTTCTTTCTTAGTCATCATTAACAGTGCCTTCATCCGACTATCATTATTTTGAGAATTGATATTGTGTTTCAGTTATCTTTCAAATGTTCGCATGATATTAAAAATATCAATTTTTATTTTTAATAAATATATTTTTTATAAATAATATGTATGACATTAACAACTAGAAAAGAAGAATTTAAAAAAAAAAAGTTTGAATTTTAAGTATACTAGAGGGTGTGTAAACTATCAAATGTATGTAAAAGGAAAAGGTTTTTCTAGAAGGAAAAGGTTTCTAGAAGAATTGCACAATTTTTAAACATCTCTATGATAACAGCTCGTAGAACTTTGTTTGGACAGAATATATCTGCAGTTTGTAAACTTGATTGTACATATTCAATTTTAATAATATTTTCTTTAACAGTCTTGCGAGTGAACTTTAATTTTATATCTATATGTTTCAAACTACCTGAAAAGTTTTCATTAACAATACTTTTTTTGGAATTTTCTTTTTTGAGGGGTGGAAACAAGATATTTATTATGGTTCATGACAATTACCCGAGTTCACTTGAGCTTCAATGAAGCAGCCCCCCCCAAAAAAAAACACAGTCTAGCTAAACGTAATACAAAACTGTAGTCAAGGTAATACAGTCAAAAGTCTCGTCAGGACTTCGGCGATTCTGGATTATAGATCATCAGTTTAAATCTTGTAAGATGGCATGCAGAAATTCTAAAATAAAAAATATGAAACCGTAATTTATAAAATAAAGAACAATTATGATCTAAAGGGTATCAAAATTTACAAAAAAAAAAAGCATTAATATTTATTTGTTTACTTTATTAAACATTTCTTTCAATGAAATTTGTTTAAGTTGCTTCGTTTCCCTGTGATAATACTTTCTCTTTAATTCTATAAAACAGACATAATTTCTTGTTCAGTTACAAAGTTCCGCTATTCAAGTCCCGTTAATTGCTGTGCCGAGAATACCGACTAACTTGTCAATCGAAATTTTTTCGTTTTCACTAACCTCTCTGTCACATTCTTCATGTCTTTATCCATTTTTTGCAGCAATTCCACTTTTTGTTTATTGGACATCGAAAATTACTTTTTCGAAATTACGTTTTATAGATCCTTTTAGAAGTTCCAGCATCAGAAATTCTATTTGACATAATCGAAAGTTCAAGTTTACTTTTATAAAATTGTTCTTACAGTCTGCAAAAAATAACAAGCGGGATCCAATTCAAAGATTAAGGAACAACGCAATCATTAACATTAACTGAAATAGATAATTAGATAATTTTAGCTTACACCGTCCGTTATACATTAAACGCGCAGGCGAAAACATATTCTGCACTTGCGCACACTCATATGCGCAGTAGTCAAGGTCTTACGCGCACGCGTAAAACGCCTGTGCGCATGGGCCAACGCGGCGCATGCGCAGAAAGTTTTTAGCTTTGAGGTCCGGATTTATGGGTGTCTGAATTAACGACTTTTGACTGTAATAGGTAATAAGAGCTAAAGTAAAAATAATTTTGCGATCCATAAATCTCATTGACGGTATGCTACAGTCCGAAACACGGTGTAACACATAGCAGTACTTCAGTCTGCAACGGCATGATAATCTGGTAGTTTGCATCAACTAACAAAACAAGCTGAATTTACAGTTTATTTATAATGCAACCACGTCACGGATTGCAGCTTAGGGTCATTGAGGAACCAATCACAAAAGCTGCTTGGACCCCTCGTGCATGGCAGAGTGTTGATTGCCATGCGATATTACTGGTGATGCATTAAATATCCGTAAAATTTTCAATGCCCAAAATAACTCGTTCATAGGAAAATTGAAAAGGCATGTATTCTTGCGATATTTTGAGCATGGTTGTTGAGCGGTTAACAGAATTACAACCTGAAATGCAAAAGTTACATGTTTAGCTGCTGTTAAAACTTCTTTATCTATTTATCTTTAAAATATGATAACACTTTTGGGGAGTTCTTGCCGCTGCTATTAGGCTTGCCTTATATTTTGTACATATCAAAGGACTTGTAATATCCAGATGCTTACAGTGCACTACTGAAGATTTTGAAAAGCGCAATTGCCATTTTACTGAGTAATACTACAAAGGTTTCTTAAAATTAGAAAATGATTTTTTTAATTCGTCAGTAAACACACAGTTTCTTTTTGGCATTTGGAGATTTAATTAGTATGCAGTACAAAATAATTGCACGCACAATTTGAATTCAGCTAACATAGAACATGTTCAATGTAAGCTTCTAATGTTGCCTACTCAAATTGAAAATATCTAAAAAATGAAATAAAAATAGTATCTGTATCTGCTGTAATTTTAGGGAAGAAAATCTAGAAACCTTAAAAGTATTTAAATTTAGATAGAACATCTTTAGGTTGTCGACAGAGGGTATATTTTAATTGCCAGATCACTGTTTTATTTCAATAACTGAACAATAACCAAATAACTGAAACAAATGACAAACTGGTCAGGACATTGGGACTAAGCATTAAATCAAAACATTCTCGATCAAAGCGAGATGCTGATAAGCTGATTTATGTGAAATAGCTTTAGATTTCAGTATCATTCATTGATTGTAATATCCAATATTAATGTTCTTAAGAATATTCATTTCTAGATTATATTTCTAAGAAATAAAAACTAACTAATAATTTTCTTTTCTCCAAGGCAAAACAGGAGAGTGTAGATTTGCTTGAAGCCAAAATTCCAAAACTGGAATCACCACAAGTATTTTCTTATTACCCACCAAGTCCTGATCTTCCTCCTAAACTAGACCAGTACGTTCTGAAAAAAGATGAGGATACTGACAGTAGCGATGAAAATGCAGATGCTGATGATTTTGCAATGGAAATGGGTCTCGCATGTGTTATTTGCAAGTATGTGTCTCTTGATATTTTAAACTCAAAATGTGCATGTTAAACATAAGTTAGAATTTCTGTCTTATAATCTAAATATTGTATTTTTTAGCTTGTTGATTTTCATTTTTATTGTTATTGTATTTTTATAAGCTTTTTTATAGCTTACTCATGGTGTTTCACAATGGGGAATTTTGCCATCGATTTTTAACCTACTACCTCGTAAGCTGTGGAGTTCAAATTTTGTACACAATTTGTTTGTTGATGACTGTGTAATGAAGTGATTTTTTTTTTCCAAATTTGATATAAATTTCTGAATTTAAATTTAATATGTAAATGATTCTTCTTCATTCAAATCTTCATTTTCTTTCACAAATCTTCATTTTATGAACAAACTAAAAATATCAGAATTTTGCTGTCTGCACCTTTAAATAAAAGGTGTGGTAAATGAAACTTATTTGGAAATTGTAATTTAGTTTCTGAATTTTTCTTAGGTGTTGCCACTAAAATGTTTTTCTATTTGAACATATGATAAAATAGTGGGAAAAGAAATGATTCAAACAACAACCAATTTAGTATCACCATCTAAAAAATAAATAATTATCTAAAGGTTGTATATCACGTAATACATGATCACTAATACATTAACCTAGGTTTGATTTAAAGGTAAATAAAAGAGATAAGTTTTATGCAAAGTATATATAAATATGGAACATGTATAATTGAAAAAAGCATAATTAGTTTAGGAACCAGCTGCTTGTATGAAATAAAGTGTGCTTATAATTCAGGAAACTATCATATTTTATTATTGATATTTGTGACTTAGCTTAGGCAAAGAGAACTTAAATTAACATTTCTCCATTTTCATTTAATTTTTTAAACGTCTATTATGAATTAAGTGCAAATTGCTTTTGCTTTTTAAAGATTCAACTTTGTGTTTTTTTATTAAAAATTATTTGACATTCAGAAGTATAAAAGAAGTCAAACTTCATAGTATCTTGTTTATGCATTTTATAGATGCCTAATATTTATTTGATATGATTATTTTGAATGATATGTTATATAATTTTAATATTTTTATTTAAATTGTTCCTAAATGTTTTAACTAATCTTTCTTGGGATAACTGTACAGTTTGATGTATAGTTAGTTGTAACATCAATATATATTGCGAGTTTTTTAGAATTTTACTGTCAGTGTATATTTGTTAAAAAATAATAAATATTATTCAATGTCACAAACTTAACTAATATTTTTTTTAAGACAAATTGAAGTTACACAAGGAAATCAGTTAATTGAATGTCAAGAATGCCATAGTCTGTATCCATCAAGTAAGCTCTTCATTTTAATAAATATTTTTAAATATTTTGTTTCTGTAGTATATAATGCAGTGGTTCTCAGTTTTTTTTGCCCTGTGCACCACTTTCACCATTGCTATATCTGTTATGCATTCAAGTAGAGCTATCAAGTCACATATAGTAAAATTTTCAGTGATACATCGTTAAAAATAAAACATTCCCTTATATTTGTGGCATGGTATAAGGTATGTGACTAATCATAGCAAATTTTATTATACTAAAGTACAGGCAACTTGCTAATGATTTTACATACTTCACAAATGTTTAATGTGTCCATCTTTGCTGACAGTGGGAAAGTCTTGTGCAATAAGTCATTTCAATCCATATTAGTATATCATTATTAATCAGAGCCACAGCATCAAGTTGTGGTTATGAAGATATTGGATTACAGTGGGAAAGAAGGCACAAAAATAATAGCCTTCATGGTTCCGTACCGGAAAAGTCATATGGGATTAAAACTGATGACTGCTCTGGCTACAGCACACTAATGAATCTTCTCATCCAGTGCATCCTCTTTGTAGAAAATGTTGACTGATGAAATTTCACATATTGTCTCAACTATGATCTCTAAGGTTATGAGCAGGATAATTATCTTTTTGAATGAGAAAATCATCACTGTTTTTTCATTCAGCTCCGACATCTTTCAAATTTCCTGTATGTTTAAATAAATTCTTCCAATCGTGCATATATTATTTATTGGAGCAGCAAAGTGGGCAGGCTGAAAGTTTGAAGCATATTATTAAAAACTATTAAAGGAAAAGAATGAGTTTGCCTCCATTTCACTGTAATAAAATTTAGTCTTACAAATTTCTAAATGTTTCACAAAATTTCAGTTTGGTGTACAGTTTACAAATATTTTTATTGCACCATACATCCTTATGTATGGTGCAATAAGAATATTTGGATAACTTATAACAAACTATATTTACACATGCCTTTCTTTCCTGATTTTGGAAGTTAGACTTGTTCAGAGGGAATCTTACATATCTCTTTTGTCTCCTACCATTTGAACTTAGACTGGTAAATGAATTCAGTCATCACAATTAATTATTGGAAAAAGCCACTTGTTTTGAATAAGTTAAAGATGTTGACCCACTCTTTGCCTGTAATTTTAATTTATCCATGTGTTATATTTTCTATTTTTAATTAAAGATAGTAATTACTGAATTTTGAAAAGAAACTTCTGAGAGAATTCACAAGCTTAAAGGAATGCATCTACTAATTAGTGCCATTTAAAATTACTCAGGTGCATTTTTCCAAATAAATTGCAAACTTTTATGGCTGTGCTCTAATTTCTTTGAAAGTTTACTTTTTACTTCCTGTACCTTCTATCAATACGGATGCAGTTGCAACAGGCAGCAGAATTTTAGGATCCACCGAAATCTCTCTAAGCAGGAAGTGCATAGATGTTGGCCCTGTGTGTAATAATGCTGCATAATGATCCAAATTTTGTGCTTCTCAGAATTATAATATACCTCATGGTTTAAATCCCTGTGGTTTGGGAATTTTTAAGAAAAATCAGAATGAACTTTGAATGAATTAAGCTTAAATTTTGGAAATTCTTGAAATAAACTGCAGTGCATAAAGGAGTGCATTTTACTTCTTTTTGAAGTTTGAGAAATTTTGAAGCTGCATATAAGTCAAAAAAATTTTAGCATTAATATGTTTCATTTTTTAGAAATATTCTTTATTCTGACAAACGTAATGAATGATTTTCTAATAATTAGAAATATCCCATTTATTAGTTTCACTATCATTGCATTGATTCCCTCAAATCATGACATTTATATTCTGCTGTATTAATCAGAATTTTGATTTATAGCTTGATTACTAAACAAATAAAAATTTTGTTGCTGTGTATTGTCAAAGTATTTTTTTATAATGATAATGTATCTTAATAGGAATGTCATAGACCACCTGCAACTGATTATGATGTAAATGATCCTAGACGTGTTTGGTATTGTGCAAAATGTATGAAGAATATGAAAAAAATGGTAATTATTATATTTTTAATTTAATTTAAAATTAAATTAAAAATTATTAATTATCTCTATTCCCCTTATTAATTATCTCTATCTCTATGCTAGGCAACAAAAACACAAAAAACAGCTAAATCTGGAACTACAGTTCCTCCAAAGGAATCAATTTTACCCACCAAATGCACCAAAAATGAGAGTTCACCACCTGCTCTTATATTACCTTTTAAAAGAACAGAGCTTAAAGTAAGTCTCTTAAAGATGTTACGTTATCATATATTAAAGCATCATACTGTTTCCTTATGCCCATATAAACTTCTTATTGTGTGTTTTTAAAGTTCTTTATTTTATTCAATTGCTTTCCCATAAATTCTGTTTAATTGTTGTTATTTATAGAAATATTTGAAATTAACTGTAAAATATGTCAACAAGTGATAAGTCAGTGTTGCATTTGCTCTCTAACAATTATTACTTGTTTATTTAATGCAGATTGCATTCTTAGTTTCTTTGATAGTAGATATTGTTGCTCATGATAATTCACAAATTTTAAAAAATGCTTTCGAAATTTATAAATATTTGTTTAATATTCCTTCCCTTGTTAACACTAAAGCGCCAGAGCAGTCATTTTGACTGCTTTCGTTATTTGACCTTGGATTCCTTAAAAAAACCCTTTATCTTAAGAAGTCACAAATTTTGGTATTTTCCTAAAATATGTCGAAAATTATTGGTCCAAATATAAATCGAATGAAATTAAAATTAACGGAGATATTATTAGTTATACCTAAAAGCGCCACGAACAGTCATAATGACTGCTAGTAACACTGGGTAGATTTATATGGTATTATCGATCAGAAAATATTTTTCTTGGAAAAACATCTGGTGTACATATACATTCCTTTCATTCACTGATTATTTACAGAAGGATATACTTCCCTTCTGCTCAGGAAATCCCTTTTGTTGGAAAAACATCTGGCCTACACATTCCTTTTCACTCTCTCTTTATTTACAACATCAAATACTTCCTCACGTCCTTGTCAACACTCCACCCATTTTTGGCAAAATGATATAGTCCTTAGTTTGCCGTAGTTCAGTCAGTTTGTTTCATGACATTTCATTCTTTCAAGCGTGCGGTAATGCCAGCTCGAAGACCGCGATATCCGAGTCCAGAAGAAATTGTACAACTTTTACAGGATTTATCTGAAAATTAATCTGATGTTGAAGAACATAATATTGATGATGATATGGATTATGAGCCTCCACAAAACTTTGAGAGAAATAATAGTTCTAGTGAATATGAAGATAGCACGGAAGAGCAATCGTTGACCAAGGTTTTCAGAGCATCGATATTTACGCAGCAAATATTTTGTCATCAGTAACTGCAGCTTCCACATCAACTGAAATAGGTAAGAAATATTATGTTTATGTATTGTTATTTTCGTTTTGACAATTTCTGATGTACTTGAATTTTTTTTAAATATGATGAGTCATTTATTGTAAAAAAATATACATATATATTATTTTTTTTAGGTTCCCCTAATGCACAAGGTATAGGATCAAAGCGAAAACATGATTTACCTAACTCCAGGATACGCACGAGGAAGAGGATGTATTTTCCAAAACCACAAAGAAGGCTCTATATGTGTCTTAAAAGATGGAACCTCATGGAGAGTGACATCTACTTCACAAACTACAGCTGGGAAATATGGAGCTCAAAATGTGCTAAAAGAAATGCCGGGTCCAACATCTTATGCAAAACGAAATGTTGGGGACAGTGTGTTGAGTGCTTGGAGGTTGTTTGTGGATGAATCGATGTTACTACATATTAAAAAGTGCACGGAAGCAGAGGCAGTTTTGAACAATGAAGAAAACTTGGCAATATCTTTAGAAGAGTTTGATGCTTTTATTGCTATTATTTATGCAAGAGGAGCATATGGTTGCAATGATATGGATTATGATTTTTTGTGGAATAATACATGGGGTCTTCCTTTTTCTTCGAGAAACAATGTCTCGCAATCGTTTTCGAGACATTATGAAATATCTAAGATTTGACTTGAAGTCAACTAGGACTCAGCGTTTAGAAAGTGATAAGTTTGCACTTTTTTCCGATATTTGGAATAAATTTATACGGAACTGTGCAATTTCCTATAAACCAGGAGAAAATCTAGTTGTGGATGAGCAGTTATTTCCATCCAAAGCCAGGTGTAAGTTTATACAGTATATGCCGAATAAACCTGATAAACTCGGTATCAAAATTTGGATGTTAGTCGATGTAGATTCAAAGTATATGTGCAATGCTTTTCGATATCTTGGAAAAAATACATCGAGAAGTGAAACTGAAAGTCTTCCTGAAAATGTAGTAATGCGTCTTCTAAGCCATTATCTGAATTCAGGTCGAAATTTGACAACGGACAATTATTTTTCCTCACTATCATTAGCTAGAAGACTTAAAATGAAAAACACAAGTTTTTTCGGCACAGTAAGAAGACATCGACAAGAAATTCCGCATGAAGTAAGGAAATCTAAAACCCGGCTATTTGAAATAGTTTTGCTAAAGAATGGTGAAACTACGCTCACTGTCTATCAGGGAAAAAGGAATAAAAATGTCCTACTACTAAGTACCTTACATCCAAGTGTAAATATAGACTCGCAAAATAAGAAAAAGCTTCCAGAAACAGTAGAGTTCTACAACAAAACCAAATATGGAGTTGATATCGTTGACAAGATGACACGTAAATATTCTGTTCGGGCTGTTTCACGTAGATGGCCTGTGCATGTTTTCTATAATATGCTGGATTTAACACGGACGAATGCCTACATTATCTACGATAAATTGAGTGGTAAAAATAATGCAAGGCACGACTTCCTATTTCAATTAGCAGAGGAATTAAGAGAGCTTTATTTAAACAGAAGAAAAACTGCAAAATTGCCCCAGGAAATTTCCAAATCTAGCAATAGACTCTCAAAAAACAGACATCAATGCCAGATTGGACTTTGCAGCAACAACAAAACAAGTGATGTTTGTAAAAAATGTTCATATTATGTGTGTGGAAAATGCACTTCCAATATTGAAAAAGTTGCGTTTTGTAAAAATTGCGAAAAGCTGTAAAATTTGTTTTATTAAGGGTAGGCTGAAATTTATAATAAAATATCCTCTATTTTTTTTATAAAAATAATCTGTTATTCTTTAAAGTTCTTCAACAACTGTAATTAATATTCTTAAAAGCATTTACATTTGAATATATACATTAATTCGTTGAGCAGTCAATTTGACTGCCGTTGGCGCTTCTAGTTAGGGAGAAAGCTTGGCGCTTCTAGTATTAATTTACTACTTTTCTGAAAATGTATGTATATCAGGTTAAATGTAAGAAACTGAGTCTGGCTGGTGATGTAAACATTGGGCGAAGCAAAAGAAACATGAATTAAAAATTATGGTTTACTTGTTGCAAATCATTTGCATTCTAGCATACATATAAGAAACACAGGGTCAGTTCAGGATATCAATATTGGGCTGAGCTAAAGAAGCATGAATTACATGTATATAAGTAATTTATGCTTCTTTAACTGGTTCTAATTAGGTGTGTATTTCACTTGTTGCAAATGCCGCATCATTTCAGCACAGGTTGTTTATTACACACATTTACAAATGTGTTGATTTCATTTATAAATGTAAACAATATGTATTGTTTCTTGAGTAAGTAAAACCACTGCATGGTGAAAGTGAATCATGCTAAAAGAATACTTAACAATAATTAATATCTTCCCCCCCCCAAAAAAAAATAAATAATAATTTTGAAAGTTTGTGCCAAAAAGTAAATAAAACTAAGAAATGGGAATGTAAAACATATTGTTATGAAATGTCCAGCTGCAGTAAGATAGCTTCCCTGCAAAGTGAGTGTAGGGTTGTCAGATTTGGCACGAAATCGCCGATGTGCCGTAGACAGATGGAGAACATTTGAGAATGAATCGTTACCAGTTTGGCCAAGAATGTTCTCAAAGGCGGGCCAAAAGCTATATAAACCCACCTTGCCTGTATGTAGAGTAGCAGTCTACTGTTGAGTTGGTAGTCGAGTGTATCGCAAGAGTGTCTAGTCAGTGAATTCTTGAGTCTATTGAATTGGTCATTAGCGTGTATTGCAAGGACACAGTCTGGAGCGAATTCTTACCGGTTTGGCCCAGAATGCTCTCGAAAGCAGGCAAAACCCTGCCTATAAGCAGAGTAGCAGTGCATCGTCAAGTATATCTTAGTTATGTAACGGAAGTTGGTGCATCGAGAGTGGACATCATTGAGGTTATTGAGTGTATCATCAAGCACATCTCAAAATGTAGTGTGGAGAGTCTCGAGAGTATGTTGAGTTTCCAAAATGATTGAACTGAGTTGAGAGATGTACTCTAGTGCTTTGCCGTGAAGCTGTCTTCACCGTATAGCCTGAAGGCTGTGCTGCTGATTGTTTCAGAGTGCTTGTCATAGTTTCTTGACGACTAAACGTTTTTTAGAGCTGTCCTGGGTAATACTAATAAATTGTGTTTTCATTCTTCATAAAGTGTTGTCATTAATCACTCACTAATGGATTTCATGAACCCGTAACAATATGAAGTTAATTTTAATGTCATTTATGGTTTCAAAGCTAATGTATATTCAAAGTGGCATTTCGCAGAAGTTAATGCATAATTGAAAACTTTAAAACATCGTAGGATTAATTTTTGCTAGACCTCCTTCCTTAAATTACTTTTCTTTCAATAATTTGAACTGAGCATTTTTCAATAAACTTATTTCGTTTAGTGAAATAAAAATTGGACAATGTTGCTTAAAGTTTTTGTTGGAAAATATGACTTATTGTAACCCTTTTACTGCATCATCTCTCTTCCTTCAAAAGTTTATTAGGCTTAGTTCTTATTTTAATGTAATATAGTAGTTACTTCTACTTCTTTTTCTTACTGCCACTGTTTGTTACATAAACATACTAGTTACTGTTTCAACCTAATTAAGATGCAAAAACGAAACGTGATGTTACGTCGTCTGGAAAGCCGAATCGTGCCGATAGCTGATTGGTTGCCGTGAGATGACGTCATGCCTACTTCTAATATAAGTATCTCGCGTCGCTCTGGCTCAGCCCTTCTAATTCCTGCTTTCCTGGCACTTGGGTGTGCGGTTTCCAGCCCCTTAAGAAGGATGTGTGCAGTCCGGTGAATAAGTTCCTTGGTTCCTGTCCACAAGATGACTGTTCCTGAATAAGTTCCTTGGTTCCTGTATAAAAGATGACCTTTCCAGAATAAGTTCCTTGGTTCCAGAAGCTACAATGTGAGTAACTGCCGTGGGCAGCATCCATGTTCTTCTTGAAGGTGGCATTTAAAATAAGTTAGCGGTGATTCCTCATGTTCAACCAATGTAAGCGGAGTTAGGCCGAATTTAAGTGCTTTCAAGAACTTAATTTAAACTTCAGGTGCTTTCTTGACCATTGATCATGGACTTATTGAATGTGTAGCCAATTTCATTTGAGACCGCATAATTACTGTTTAGGACATTTTGTTTGTATTGAATGCCAGTATTTTTGGAGACCAGGTAAAAATATTATTTGATGAATGATGATTATATTATATTTTCTAAGACTCTGATATTGTTTAAATTTATTTTTTGTGTTTTTATTCTTTTTTTATATTGTTAATAAATTGGTTAAGTTTGAAACCTCTTTATTGTCTTCAATGTCTGCACAACATATTATCTCAGGGAGCTTTTATTGCTACTACTGCTAAATGTTTAATTTTATAAACTTTAAACTTTGCTTTAGCATCATTTTCCCCATGAAGATACAGAATAGCCAGTAATTTTTATGTGTTTATTTTTATTTCTATTATACGGTAAGAAGTGATCTTTCAGAATATTGTGATATGTAGGTGGTATGTAACAGTGGCTCACCTTCAGTTTTATGTCGGGTTACATTTGATAAGTGTGCATTGTGAAAACAACATTTTAGTAACAAAATTCTTCAGAAACTAAACAGCATCCTTCTGTAAGTGAACAGCATTTAACTTTTTGTCATCTGTTAGCTGACCAGCATTTATGAGAGGATGCTTACCATATATGGGGAAAGAAAGTACATTAAAGCTGTCCGTAAGTAGCATGCATGTTTTTTTCAAGGTTGTGAAAATCTATTAGATGATGCTGGGCTTGCCCAATAAAATCTAATCATTACACCCTAATTCATGGAACAAATGGATGAATGAAGGTAGAATGTAAGCTGATTATACATTTCATGGAAGGAAAAAAAAATCAGTACATGGTACAGTGTGAACAGCTATGTGTGAGAAATTAGGTTATTGGAAATTATGTGCTTCGTGTTGATATATTTGTCAAATAGTGTATCATTTTGCATTGGACTATTTTGTGTGGTATCAGATTGACATTCCCTTTCTCCTAACATTACGATAAAAAGTATGTGACTGTACATATTCATTTGCCAAAGAACTTTGCATTTGAAGTACCATAATTTCCTGTAGAAACGCCGCGGCGTTTACGTGTTTAAAACTTAAATTTTCAGCGGGTGAAGCGTTTCTACCCATGCGGCGTTTAGGTGCACTAAAAATAAAATATTTCCTATGATGGTCATACATAGTTTGGATGGCCTTGTCATTGTGCATAGACTGGTGCTGTTCCTACACAAAAGACCACTCAGTTGCTTTTTGCGAACGTTATTTTGTTTACATTCTTCCTCTTGAATGGACCTACATGCCTTGTTCACCCTAAACGAGATCTAAGAACAATAACATTCTTCCCCCTTTCAAATCAACATTCTCATCAGTTTGAATAGTTTCTCTCCTCTGCCATTCGATGAATCTTCCAGGACCCATCCTCTCCCCACCCCTGCCTTTTCTGCAATTTTTTTCAAAGGTGGACACGACTCCACCTGCCTCGCAATAACGAACTCTGACGTATTTCCCCTTCAGCATGAATGGATTTTTCTTGGCATTCTGCCAAATACAGATCCCATCAGTTTGGGTACAAGTACTTGCTGGGTAGTTTTTAAGTAAGAAGGGAGCGGAAAATTTTTGAAAATGTCCCTAAACGGCACAGAAGCTATACTGCTAGTTTTAAGCTTAATGTAATTTCACATGCTGAACAAATTGGAAATCGAGCAGCAGCTCGAGAGTTTGAAGTGGACGACAGATGTATTCGACGTTGGGGAACTGAAAAAGGACTTCTTAAAAATATGCCACAACAGAAATGAGCCAAAAGAAGTGGTACTGTAAAGGCCCATATCACACGACATTTGTTTCACTCGAACAACTGTTTCGGACAATTTTTTTCACTAGTTCACTGCTGAAAGAAAGACTTGCGACTTTTTCCTTCCTTTCGAAAAAAATTGCAAGTTGTTCGTTTTCAACCAATCAGCTATCAGCTTGTTTGCAATTTGAGGAAACCAGTTTCCCCAGTGTTAACTGCAAAGCGATCTATGGTGATTGGCTGTTGTGATAAAGCAGAAAAATTGTTCCAAACAGTTGTTCTTCCGAAACAAACCGCCATGACATAGCAGCCTAAGATGGCCAAATCTAGAGGACGATCTTGCAAACTGGATAAAGGAGCAACGAGGAAAGGGAATGGCAACAATTTCGACTGTAAAAATTCGCTTACAAGCAAAATTTATAGCAAAACGAAATGAACATAAATGATTTCAAAGGATGGCCTTGCTGGTGTAGCATATTTATGAAAAGAAGAAATATTTCTGTGCGTACTAGAACAACAGTTGGGCAACAATTACCAATGGACTGGCAGGATAAAAAGTCATCTTTTCTAAAATATGTGACAATGACATATTTATTGACAAAAAAACAAACAAACAAACAAAACAAAAATAAAAACAAAAAAACTTCGGTTCACAGATAATAAATATGGATGAAATATGAAATGCCGTTAGCTTTTCGACTCTCCTGCAAACAGAACTGTTGATGAAACTGGTGCAAAAACTGTATCTGTGTTTATGACGGGGCATGAAAGAACGTCATTTACATGTGTGTTAGCTTGTGCCACAAACGGTGACAAGCTAAAGCCGATGATCATTTTTAAAAGAAAGAAACTATTCCGAAGGGAGATTTTCCTAATGACGTAATTATTTGTGCAAACGAGAACGGCTAGATGTGCGAAACAATTATGCATGAGTGGTTACAAAAAGTTTGGCAAAGCAACTGGTGCAAAAACTGTATCTGTGTTTATGACGGGGCGTGAAAGAATGTCATTTACATGTGTGTTAGCTTGTGCCGCAAACGGTGACAAGCTAACGCCGATGATCATTTTTAAACGAAAGATTATTCCGAAGGGAGATTTTCCTAATGACGTAATTATTTGTGCAAACGAGAACGGCTAGATGTGCGAAACAATTATGCATGAGTGGTTACAAAAAGTTTGGCAAAGCAACTGGTGCAAAAACTGTATCTGTGTTTATGACGGGGCGTGAAAGAATGTCATTTACATGTGTGTTAGCTTGTGCCGCAAACGGTGACAAGCTAACGCCGATGATCATTTTTAAACGAAAGATTATTCCGAAGCGAGATTTTCCTAATGACGTAATTATTTGTGCAAACGAGAACGGCTAGATGTGCGAAACAATTATGCATGAGTGGTTACAAAAAGTTTGGCAAAGCGATGATTGGCTGTTGTGATAAAGCAGAAAAATTGTTCCAAACAGTTGTTCTTCCGAAACAAACCGCCGTGAGATAGCAGCCTAAGGTGGCCAAATCTAGAGGACGACCTTGCAAACTGGATAAAGGAGCAACGAGGAAAGGGAATGGCAACAATTTCAACTGTAAAAATTCGCTTACAAGCAAAATTTATGGCAAAACGAATGAACATAAATGATTTCAAAGGAGGTGTAGCAGATTTATGAAAAGAAAAAATATTTCTGTGCGTACTAGAACAACAGTCGGGCAACAATTACCAATGGACTGGCAGGATAAAAAGTCATCTTTTCTAAAATATGTGACAGCTAATATTGTCAAAAAAAAAAAAAAATCTGAAATGTTTTCAGATTTTAAATTACGTCCAAAGGGGCGTTTTTTAACATTTTGTGGTTACCTTTCTTTATTAAATATCATGTTCCTCACACTTAAACCATAAGATCCAGTTGCAACAGCAATATCGCAAAATAGTTTTAAAACGAGCATATCTTTAGAATTTCCGATACAGAGACTCACGCGCTGGAGATAAAAATGTTTTTTCTGCACAACGTTGCCATTGCTCGCTTTGAAATCCTTGAGTTAGTTAATCAAAATTCGTCAAAGTTTTAAAAAATAGGAAATCGATCATAAAAAACAAATTTCGAATTTCAAATTTGGTCTTCCACATGCTCGTATTCGTTGGAGGATTACGTTATTCAAAATTCGATGACTCTATGTACCGTTGTTTTATCACAATACGAGAAATATACCTACATTTATGCAGATTTTTCATTATTTAATTTCTTCAAATATAATGCAGGACTCTAACATTTTGTGGCAACAGTTTGAAAAGTGAACCGACATTTATGAGTCCGACGCAAAATGCCAAAACGAAACTAATAGTCCTTCGGGATTCAAATCCCTTTGGACTAAAAAAAAAACTTCTTCGGTCACAGATAGTAAATATGGATGAAACGCCGTTAGCTTTTGACTCTCCTGCAAACAGAACTGTTGATGAAACTGGTGCAAAAACTGTATCTGTGTTTATGACGGGGCATGAAAGAACGTCATTTACATGTGTGTTAGCTTGTGCTGCAAACGGTGACAAGCTAAAGCCGAATGATCATTTTTAAAAGAAAGAACTAATTCCGAAGGGAGATTTTCCTAATGACGTAATTATTTGTGCAAACGAGAACGGCTTAATGGATGTGCGAAAACAATTATGCAATGAGTGGCTACAAAAAGTTTGGCAGTGTCGTGTAAGGGATTCTTTTTTCCAACCAAAAGGGTTATTGATAGTGGATTCCATGCGTGCTCATTTACTTGAGTCAGGTGAAAACCAGATGTCAAAAATTGCCTACGACCGTAGCAATAATTCCTGGTGGTTTGACAAAAATCTTACAACCGTTAATTGTTAGATTTGTCAGGTAATAAATCCTTCAAAGCTGAAGTCCGAAAGCGGTGGGAGTGTTGGATGAGTGAAGGATTGCAATACGTAAACCAAAAGCGGTAAAATGCGTAGAGCATCTTATGAAGAAAGTAGCAAAGTGGGCAGGAAGTGCGTGGAGAGTCAGTGTAGAAACATCGTCAATAATAGCAGCGTTCAAAGAAGCTGAAATTATATCCTTAGATAAAGAGACTGTAAACCAAGAGGATGAATGCGACGATCTGGAAGACTTAGATCAGGATTTACTAAATCTTTTAATTCAGATAGTGAAGAATCAGATTTTGATGGCCTTCAATATGATGTATAGTTTGCTGTAATTCGTAAGTAAAATTTAAAATTTCCTTTTTGTCATCCAAATTTAATATTTCGTTGTTGCGAACATTTTTTATAATATAGTCTGAGTATTACAAATATGGACTTCTTTTAGTGGGTAAATATAAGTATATATACGGGAAGGTAAATATATTTTCCACATTTCTTACCTTTAATTTATTTTTGAGTTATGGTTTCATTTCATGCATTTTTCTTAACTGATATGTCATATATCAGGACTTGGTTGAGTTTTTGCATCTATACGGCCCACGATGATGTCACGCGCAATTTAATATAGTGCGGCGTTTCTGTGTAATTTTAATTTTTTTCCCGCTATTTTTCGCGAGTGAGGCGTTTATGCTGATGTGGCCTTTCTTCCAAAAATTGCGGTAATTATTTTTTGAAATTATGTTTATGAAATCACTTGTCATCTGACTGGAGGCAAATCCCTGCTGCACTGCATTATTGCAAAAGATCATTACTCACTTTGTCCCAGGCCTATCTATCTCTTATAGCATTTGGTAAGATCAAGGCTACTTTTAAAAATAACTACATTCTCCTTGGAAAAATTGTGATATTATTGTCCTTTCATTTGACTAACCAAATAAGTAATTTGCTTTTATGTTATTAATTTCCTGCCCAAAAGTTATTTCATTTCATTCAGTGAATTACTAACAAAATTTTGTCTTTAGTGTTTCAAAAAGTCTTTCATATTGTGGTTTTTTGTAAAGCAGAATTTCAGTCCTTTAATATATATGTAATTAAAAAAATATCAAGCTAATAGTGTAATTAGTTGCTATATGTTTATGCATGAAATGATTCCCTCCCTCCCAATATGGTGAGCAATTACAAGTTACGCTTTTCTGCTTTTGTAATCTTTGAGCATATTGGAAATTCATTATGTAACTTTCATGCAAATGTTTTATTAATGTATTTTAGTCCATTATATTTTATTCATGTATTCTTTATTTTCCTTCCAAAACTTTTTTGTTGGCATTTATAAGAGTGTGCATTTCAAGTTAAGTTATACAATCATTGAAAATTAATAATGTGCAGACTGCAACTGTTTGATATTAATTGAAATGAACACCAATATCAAACAGCAGTCAAACTTAACCAATTAATAATGATATATTTATATACTTACTTATTTATTTCTTTTATAGCCTAATCTATCCCAAGGTAGTACAATCCAGACTGCAAACAAACCAACTGGTTTAGCCAGTTTAGCTGCAAATTTTGGTGGCAGAACAACTGTTTCATCTTCTACCGCATCTTTGACAGTATCTACTCGGGGTGTAAAGCCTGCAACTCCTACCTTAAATTTGAAAACACCTTTCTCCTCAGCATCTGTCACTAAAACTTCTCTCACTAGTTCTTCCACACTTTTATCAAAAGGAACAGTGCCATCAAATACATTCCAGTCGCTTCCTTTAACCACAACTTCTCAGTCAGTTGTTACTGCAATCAGTCAGAAAACTGTAACTACTAGTTCATCTGCTAAAGGACTTGGACTGCTAAGTGCAGCTGTGGCTTCCACATCTGGACGAAACATTACACAACTGCCTTCGGGTAATGGCAACAGTGGTCATAAAGTTGCTAGCTGCAGTCCTTTAATGAGTGCAGATAAAAGGTTACAAATCATGAAAAAGAAAGCATCTAAGCTACAAGAGAAACGTAGACTGTCTACAAAGTGATATTTTTTGTAGAATATTATTAATTGAAGTGTGTTAAATTTAGCACTAGGCAAGAAATAATTAAAATACAGGGTATCCACAGAGTGCCTGAACAACTTTAACACCTTATTGTTTGGGGATGGAATGACTTGCCTTTGGCACTCATGACACTTTCACAAGCAAGGTTCAAAGTTTTTGTGACAAGTGGTTCAAGTTACCCAACCTAGACAGGTGACAAAATGAACTCTGCTTGATGGTCCTCCAACTGTAGGCAAGTGTAGTTAATCTATGTATCAGCGTAAACTCTGGCCGATATTGTTTGTTCATTGGAGAAAAATGGTTCTCAGATCTTGTCATACAACATCCCACACCAAACATTGACTTTCAGGTGCTTCCACTTCAGCTACTTTGTGATGTGAGAATTTTTAGGTGCCCAAATTCTCATATTATGTGTATATTAAACCAAAATAAATTGTTTGGAAAAATCCTTGATATAGGTGTAATAACACTACAAAAATTTGCAGCATCGCCTTTTACAGGATGCTGACAATAATAGGGTAAAGTTGTTCAGGAACTTTGTGGCAATTCTATATTGTGATAGGATTCCTCTTAATCTGAAAAATCTTGAAACATCAGTAAAATGAAAAATTATCAGTAAATCAGACATATTATAAATATTTTTCCAGAAGTTCAGGTGTATATTTATGGCTGGATTTCTAGAGGATTAGTACACAAAGTCACTTAATTATTTAATTAAACTGTTTGTGCTGTACACTGATAGCTGCAACAATTTACATGTGATTTATAAGCAGATGAAGAAAAGTAGTTAGTCTTCCTTTGAACTTTTGTGTCATTATCATTTTTTTAACTCCATCTGTCTTCTTAATGGAGGTGTACACTCACTTTTTATCCCATCATCTTCTTGCCTCATTGTCTTTCAGTAGTCATGTTGTGCTGGTCGCTCTCCTGATACCTACACTTAACACGTTGAGCCCGCCAGTGAACTTTCCGTGTGGCCGCCGTCGGTCCTTGGTTGGCAATGGGGGCTGGCACTGAAGTTTTCATTTGGCTGGTGTTGGTCCACAGGATCGACAGAGTTAAGAAATATAGTCTCAATGAAATATGATCAAATGTAGTTTTAATGAAATTTATTAAAATATTCTAAACAAAAGTACGGCTTTATGCATATACATAACGACGTTTTTGGTAACATTTTTGGCTATCTTGCGTCCAAATAGTTTTGAATTGTCATCATAACATTTCAAACAATACCTTTGGTTTTTATGTGTGTCCCCTTCCTTTTTGTATAATTTCTGAATAATTCTTTCACTTTGATCATTCACTGCCGGCTGAACGGAAAGGACAGCAAATTTGGCGCTGGGCTTAACAAGTTAAGTATCCTCATGCAACATGTCCTCCTGGTGATGATAAATATACAACTGAATCTGAAATAAGTAAATTTAAAAAAAAAAAAAAAAAAAAAGAGAGAGAGAGAGAGAAAGAGGAGAAAGTGTTCCTTATGTTAATGTATTTCCCAGAATATGTTGTGCATGTAGAATAACACGGTAAAATAAAAAATTTTTAAAAATTCGTTTTCAAAATGGTTCTTGTTTCAACACAACAATTTGGGTTTCAAAACATAAATTTTTAATTTCACTGAAATTCAATCCAAAAGCATTTATAAATTAATACTCGATCAAAAATCAAGGTGAAATAGTGTACTTACATGAGGAGCATTATTGAGAACTGGTCAAGCCCCCATGTGGCATGCTTTCCAGGAGTACACAGACAAGATGAATCTAAGTCACTGAATTATTTAATTATTCATTTTCAAAATGGTTCTTGTTTCAACACAACAATTTGGGTTTCAAAACATAAATTTTTAATTTCATTGAAATTCAATCCAAAATCATTTGTAAATTAATACTCGATCAAAAATCAAGGTGAAATAGTGTACTTACATGAGGAGCATTATTGAGAACTGGTCAAGCCCCCATGTGGCATGCTTTCCAGGAGTACACAGACAAGATGAATCTAAGTCACTGAATTATTTAACTCTCATTATCATTTTTTTCATGGCATCTCTCTTCTGATTGGAAGTGCACTCTCACCTAATAACTTGTGGATTTGATTTATTTTTTACATAAAAATATAACAAACTTTTAAGAAATAAAGCATACACAATGCTCAAGGAACACTCCAAGTAACGATGTTTTTAGCTCGACTGGTTGTTGCCACACAGTGAATCTTAATAACTATTCAAAACATTACATCATGTTGCCACTTAGGAAGTCTTAATAATTATATAGAAACATTAAATTATGTTCTACTGCAAACTCATCATCATCTGGCCTTGCTCTCTCTTGCCAGTTATGTTATGCTGTTGCTTCCCTGATACTTGCATATATGTCTCTGAATTTCTTGAACATATGTATGTATGTGTGTGAATGAGTACGAAAACTCTTATTTCATAAAAATTCCATTACAATCAGTAACCAATAAGCAAAAATTACATCTGTAAAAAGTAAACAAATGAAGAATTATCATCTTTGTTTTCCGTAAAGATGGTATTTTTATCTCACCTGATGTCCAATTATAATTTTATTAAACCATAGTTTTCTTCTGCATGTGCTAGTGAGCTCATTTTTTTCTTTTAAAGTACATTTGTACTAACACACTTCTCTTTAGAAGTCATTGCATGATGTGGTTATACATTACCACAAATAAATGTATTTATTAAGCATGTTTTTTAATCCAGAATAAGTTGTGACTTTTGAGTTTTATTTTAGAACATCATAAGAGAATTAATCCCATTAGGAAAGGCAGTATGAATTAAATTTTATTTGCCATAATTTTATCTTAATTTATTTAATTTGTATTTTTTTTTCTTAAACATGTCCTGGTGAGTAGTGATTTATTTGCTTCAATTATATATATCTACCCAGGTAGCACGTCTCCAAAAATATACATATAATTTTGGTGAAACAAGGGTATGGCATTTTTTTGCACGTTACTTTTACGAAATTTATACGAATGAAAAAGGCTGAAGTTCCTGTTGACTCTTTATCGTTATTTTCCACACGTTATTTTTACGAAAATTACACGAATCCGAATGTACTGAAAAAAACTACTGCCTTTATGGTATATTTCATTCATCACTTTTACGGATATTATGTGAAGTCTAAAAAGTTTGAAAATGAAGTTTATTAATTCAAAATATTTAGTGCATTTTTTGGCATTTCACTTTGTTTTTCTTTTCCACGAACATGAAAAAAGGGGCGTTCATATATCAGGCTAAAATTTTTCTATGAATTTTAACATGTGAGCTAAATCTCTGCGTGCATTTTTGCAAAAAATTATATTTTCTTAATTTAAAAATCTTCAAAATAACTTATTTATTTTCTTATATCAAATTTGTTATTTTTATTTATATCAACACTTACATTAATTTACACAATTTAATTTCTTTTATGAAAATCCTATTACCCATTTAACTGGAATAAGCTGTATATTAAATTTGTGTACTTGCTGAGTTTGGTACAATACTCGCCTTATTTCATTTAGCAATTGTGGGCAATTAAATTGGAATAAGACTAGCATGTCTTTCATGTCGAGGAATAGAATAATAAATAGAGCAGAAGATGCTTCAAAATGTTTAACTTCTTGAACAATAGTTTAATGTAGACCAGAGGATCATTAATTATAATCAAAGATATACTAATATTTTTATATAATAATAATAACTGTGAAATTGCAAGCTGAATCCTGATATTTTGCATATATTTCAGTTCCTTTAATCTTTGTTATAAAAATCACATGAGGCTAACATTTTTTAATTTTGTTTAATGTACGGGGAAAATGATGTAGCGATTTTAATAATTTTTATATGAGGAAAAAAAAAATAATAAAGTAAATAAATAATATATTATATTTTATATTTTTCCTGAAACAGTTAGACATTCTTAATATGCAGATCTACAGAATAAGTACAAGGGTCTAGTTAAATGAACTCAAAATTTACATAGTTAATTTTACGCTAACTTATAAAAATTAACCAGATTTACAATTATACACTGAGCATGCGCATACACAGACGTTTCTATTTTTCGTAGAAAAGTTGAATTATTATCTTAATACAGAGATGCTGTGAATATAAATTTATATAATGCAAAAGTAAGTTTATTTCATATGCTAATTTAGAGGCTTTCTTAATATGTTTAATTATAAAGGAAAAATTAGCATTGCAATTCTTGTTCACTGACCAATGGCAAAGCGGACACTTTCTACTTCCGGTTGTGGTGGGATATTTGTGAAGTCGACAATGGCGGTCGAAAAGAATGGTAAAGTCGCAAAGAATACTGTTTGTTCGTGGATTGGCGTTTGTGACTTAATTCATCGATGTTACTAATTATTTGACTAATTATTTGAAGACAGTAAGTGAATATTTTATATTTTCAGTGTTTAATACTCGTACTTTCTTCACCTATGTAAAATTTTATAAATAGCGTCTTGTAGGAAATGTGATTTTCCATGTGTTGTTCTTTTGTGCACGTGCCTAATGATTCATTTTCAGGATTTGGTACTGTTGAACAGTTAATGACATAGAATAACCAAATCAATAAATTGAAAAAAAATTTGCACTAGTCTGTTTCTTACTGTTTGTGTCACTCCTGTTTGTATGTGTCTCACCTTTTTATAGTTATATTATTTTTACTCAAACGTTTTAATATTTACATACATATTAATTAAGCAGGAAATTGCTTTTAATGGAAAAAGAAAGGTAATATTAACATGACTAATTGTTCAGAAATCTGTTCTGGAAATATTATCTACCTTATGCCAAAAAATAAAGCATGTAACTTTCATTTATTTATGAAATTGAAAATATTTTATTTGCTTAGTATTTTCTCTGAAAATAATTTAATTTCTTATTTTTGAATTTAGTTTAACTCAAAGATATTGGGCTATTAAAACAGGAAATTTTATGCGATAGAAACACAGGTACTTTGTTCCAAATCTTTGTTCATTTTATATATACTGAATTTTAATGCACTTCTAATTACTGAAATACAGTCAAAAGTCGTTAATCCGGACTCGTCGGGACTTCGCCGATTTCGGATTATCGATTTTTCCGGATATACATCTCAGTTTAATCTCGTAAGATGGCATGCAGAAATTCTAAAATTAAAAATATGAAACCGTAATTATGAATAAAGAACAATTGTGATCTAAAGGTATCAAAATTTACAAAAAAAAAAAAAAAAAGCTTAATATTGTTTATTTTATTAAACATTTCTTTCAATGAAGTTGTTGCTTCGTTTTGTGTGATAATACTTTTCTTAATTCTATAAACAGATAATTTCTCTTCAGTACAAAGTTTAAGTCCGTAATTGTGCCGAGAATTCGACTTGTCAACGAAATTTTTCGTTTCATAACTTCTCTGGCACCTTTTCTTTATCATTTTTGCAGCAATTCCACTTTTGTTTGATTTACTTCGTTGTAATTCTAGGAGTCAGCATTTACTTTTATAATTTATGTGCATTGAAATTAATTAGATAATAATTAGCTTACGGTTTAGTTACCGAAAACGTATTCTGCTAAATCTTTAAATTGTTTTTCGAATCAATAAAAACAAACTAAGTCCTTTCATGAATGCATTTCTTTTTGTTTGTTTGATTTTGTTGTTTTAAAAGATCTGCCATAGTTAAAGAAAGAAAATAAAGTAAGAATGCTTTACTTTCAGTTTTGAATAAATTTATTACTATTTACTGCAGCTTCAAGTTTCTCTAAACATAATTTTCGAAGTCAAAACTTGATAGTTATGTTGATTATTAGACTTGCATGAAAAAATTTATTGAAAAATTAGTATTTGATCTAAAATACCTTAAATTATTTGAATTATATTTTACTAAATCATGTATTTTGATATAAACTAGATAGTTAAAAAATTAAAATTGTAAATGTGCAGAAATGCTTATATAAAACCAAGAAATTGTTTATATTTTTGTTGCTTTTTCCCTTGTAAATTAATTATATATATATATTACAGTCTGGGGAGTCAGCACCCTGCTGAATTGTAGTAAACGAGACGTCCAATCTACTAGACCATCAAAGATGCAGATTTGGATTTTCTATTTCATAGTTATTGAAATCATAATGGTATGTTTGTTTAAATTAGTACTGTTTATGAATGTGATAAAAATAAATTCTGATAAGCTAAGAAATGATTTATTTTCTATTAATTATGAACTGTAAATAATGTAACCAATTTTCTTCATAGTATTTACTAAACATTTTTTTTTTAAAAAAGGGAGGTAGTCTTATTTATACAATTCTTGCACAGAGATACCAAGAAATAAAAACATTTCAGGAATTTTCACTCAGTATATCTTGATGTGTAAAATCATGTTGTTCAATGCCATATTACTTTTTCACAGGAAAGTAATTTTATTGATCTAACATCTGCATAAATCAAACTTTTTTAAGAATGATTACAGTTTCTAAGCTAACTTAAAATTTTCAGATTTAGAAAATGTATGTTTAATGTAGCATTAGTTTTCCATGGAATAGAAAAGGTTTTAAAAATGTTCA